ACCGATGTGCTTTGTTGATTCTATCCTCTATGTGGTGTTTCCATTTTATTTTCCGGTCGATGATCGCCCTAAGTGAGTACTTAATCCTGTCTGTCACCCTTATCTTTTTACCCAGGAAGCAAGGTTTAGTATACATATGTAGAAATTTTTGTGAAAAGACAGATTTCTGTCTTCGCCGGGTTAACATTGAGGCCTCTCGGTTGAGCCCAGCTCAAGGCCGTATTCAGAGCCTCCTTAGCTCTTCTACGCAAGTAATTTGGATCATTTCCCTTTAAAAGTATTACAACACCGTCTGCATAGCAGACAGGTCTAAGTCCTTTCTCGGTTACTGTCCTTAAGAGGCTATTAATCGTGGTAACACAGAGTAAAGCTGACAAAATGCCACCCTGTGGTATACCGTGAAATACCTTTTTCCTGATAGTTATATCGTACATCTCACAGCTTATCCATCTGTTCCTTAACGCGTAGGTGATCCAGTTACGGAGCACTCGGTTAACATAAAACTGGTCTAGGGATTGGATAAGGGTATCAATGTGCACGTTATTGAAGGCGCCTTCAATGTCAATGCATACCGCCAGTGTATACAGTTTGCTATCGAAGGATTCACCTATGTAGAGGACAACGTCGTTTAAAGCGGTTAATGCTTAAATTTAAGGTCTTTGTCTGGTATACTGCTTTTAACCATTTATGTAGGAAGGATGTAAGACTTATCGGTCGATAGGACTTAGGTGTCGCATAGCTAGGTTTCCCTGGTTTGGATATAAATATTACCCTCGCATCCAGCAATTTAAGGGAGGTTTATGTTAATTTCAAGCATGCAGTGAATATATGAGACAGATGTACGGAAACCAGTCCCGCTTCCATCTGCAAAAGTGCCGGGAAAATGCCATCCAGCCCTGCAGCTTTATAGAGAGCAAAGCTCTAGATTGCCCCTTGTGGATACTTTATTATTTATATACTTTGTAATTAATATACTTTATAAATAATTTAATTTTTAAGTTTTCATTGAGTTTTAAATTTGAAAAATGTTTAGTAAGAATATAAAATATATTATTATTACCACTGAACACCAAGAAATGAAACTGTGACGTTTTTTTACAAAATAACGTTACGCTCTTCTCACAGACGAGTTCTGTGTAACTCCAACACACATGTAAGAATGTCACTCTCTCCCAAAACTTCAAAACTTTCTCGCGAAAATTCGTGGCTTATAGCACTTTAAAGTATTTTTTATCACTTAAAGTTATATTTTATTATTTTTTTGCACAATTTAAATTCATTTAACAGCCCGAAAAGATTCTATTTTTTACAAACGAAAAAAATATTATTTATTTTTTTGACATTAAATTTTTGTTGTTGAAATTAAAACTGAAAGAAGACAATGTTGTAAATTTTCGTATCGTACAAGAAAAAATTATTTATTTTTTCAATATTGCAGAATAAAAATCCAACATACATTCTTCTAAAATGTTTATAGATAAATTATGTAGCAAATAAAAATTTAAATGTAATATTTTTTTCAATATTTTTAAATCCGACTTTTTGCAACTATGTTGACTTGAGAATTCTAATAATACATTCATAAAGTTAGGTACCGATTGACAGTAGACTTGGGCACTTGTTGACAGCGTTTCACTTCTTGATGTTCAGTGATTATTACTATTGATTTTTCACAAAATTTATAAATATAAATAACATTTTGTTTCATAATATAACCACCACACCCCTTTAACCATATCAGATGTAATTACAATTTCCGTGTTAGCCTCCCCTTCCTCCAATATTGGTTCATCTATGTTTCAACCAGGGCACTTGTAAGCATTTCTACTTTGGCGTCTATGTCCTCTTTATTTCGACATTGCAAAGTGTCCTGACATAAACGGTTCTTTAGTAAGGTCCGAACATTGTCCATTTAGTTTTAGACTTATTCCGAAACTTTATCGGCTTTGGTACCGATGGTCAAAAAAGGAGTGCTCGTCCGAAACTCTCCAATCCTGAATTTCGTTTATACTTAAGCTCTTCTGAACATATAGTTATATCTAATACGTATTCACTGATTCTATTGACGAAGGTAGCTTTATTACCTAAGTTCAATGTGATCAAGTCTTTAGTATTAAGGAAATCCATTAGAAATCCCCAAGCGGCAGTTGGCATCACAACCTATTACAATTTTCTTATTTTTCCTTTGTGCCTCTTCGTCCAAGGTTCCTGGATTAAAACTATTTATTTATCAGAGCGTTGGCATCCGTCTCGCTCCGATGGAGGTTTATTTGTTTTCCATGTTTGTTTTTTCCAGTTTTTTGGTCCGCGGGGAATATAATACACCCAGGTGGTGGACAATCTACTCCCTCTCAGCTTAAGTGACTCTAAAGCTGGGAGAGGACCATCACCACCCCCTATCCGCCACCCGGGTACTCGCTCGGTAGGAAAAACTGGAAAACTACCCCGAGTTTGGCATTTTTAATTTATTATTAACATATCGACAGTTAATTGTTTAAATACCCTAGTATGTACATTAGGGTGGCCCCGTTTGTGTGCAGGAAAAATAAGGTGTTCCCAACTAAAATTAAAATTCAATTGATTCTAAGATAGCGTTTCTGAAAATTTTTGTCCTGGGATTTGGTCCTTTTTTGAGGTTTTTATGATTTTTTTCATATTTCATCTTTTCTTCCAAAGGAAAGATATAAAATTTTGATATCACAGAAATTTTCGAAAATTTTGCATTTTTTGTAAAATTTTCAGATTTTTAACATTTTAACATAGAGGAATTTAATATAACTAGCAAAATCTTTACTTACCCGGTAAGTAGGCAAGTAATATTGGAGCAAAGTGTAAGTACTTTCTTTTGGGTGAATAACTACTAGGGTGATCGATTATTCGACATTTTCCAAAAACCGTTTTTCGAAAAGTTGATATTTCAAAAAAACCGGTTGATATTTTTCATATTCAGAAAAACCGGTTAACCGGTTTTTGATTATAAATAACAAAATCCATTTGTTTTGAAAAAATTAACGTTAATGTTTAAATTTGATGACCCAAAGTGATTTTTCACAGTTTAAAAGATTATAAATTTAGATATAGTCGTCTGATTTACATTATTTTTTTAATGTAAAAAAAAATTGGCAAAAAGTGGGACACTTCTGTTCATAGCTGTAAAATAATGATTAATAATCGTAATCATTATTAATTAGATTATTTTTATTATAAAGGTGAAATTAATGATTAATTAACGATTATTTTATATTTTTTTAATTAATTGTTGATTACGATTAAAAATAATCTAAAAATAATCAGGGATTAATTGGAATTAATGAAAATAATCAAAAAAAAATCAAAATTAATCAAAAAATTAGTTGATTATTTTCATGGATTAATTTTGATTAATTTTGATTATTTTCCATATATTTAGTATAATTTCCTCCAAAAAAAAACTCTAAGAAAAATTTAATTATTTTTCCGGTAATCCGTTAAATATTACGGATTTTTTGAGACCCATTTCGAAAAGATTGCAGTCATTTTTTTCTAATATGTTGTACTGAAATCAAGATTTTCAAACGAGATAAACTTGATAAATATATTGTTTTCAATAAAAAAAGTCACATAATCGAATAGTGTGTAACTTGGAAAACAGTTTTCCATTACACGTAATATAAAAAGACAGAGAATTGTATCAAATATATTGAAATTAATCAAAAATAATCGAAATTAATCCTTTAAAATAATCAAATTAATTATTTGATTAATTCTGATTATTTTTGATTATTTTCATTAATTTAAATTAATCCTGATTATTTTTAGATTAATTTTAATCGTAATCAATTAATAATCAGAAATTTTATACCAGAGAATTAAATAATCATTACGATTATTTTTGAAAAATAATTTAATTGATTATTAATCGTAATCAAAATTTTACAGCTATGCTTCTGTTAAATATAAGCAACTATGTAAGCTTATTCTAAAATCCCTGTTTAGACAATTTTCATAGGCATTCTAACACATCAATAATAGTTTAGCCGCCAAGTACTTATTGTAATTGGAATATAATCTTAAGATTGATAAAATTTTATCAAATAGTTATTCCAATAAATTTTAAAAATAAAATTTGTTAATAAATTAGGAAATCAAAAAAGTTTAACCAAAGGTGCGTTAGAAAAATATACTCTAGTTCCTGTACTCCAATGGCTACAAATCCTATCCAAAAAAATTAAATTATTTTATTAATAAAGACCAATAATTACCAAGTAATGTGTGAAATAACTACATTACCTACAATACTAATTACGAAAATTTTAAAATATTTTACTGGGATAGTTCGTTGAAATGAATACACAATAATCCTCAATAAAATCTACCAAAGCGGTTTTTTCCGTTTTTCAAAATTCAATCTAGATCAAATATTATTTAAATTTATCGAAGCCTATGTCGCTACCAAAACATAGCGAAATAATGTAAACAATAACATAGAAACCGTTATTTACAAAGCAAGCTAGCAAATAAGTAGATGTTTAGGATAAATTGTGTTAATATTTTAGTTAAACTGAAAAATTTTATTGATGGTAGAATGAAACCATAAAGTGTTATATACCATTGTAAAGCTAATGAATTACACGTATGCTGATGTACATATTAAGTACGTTCGATAAATATAGCTAGCAGAAAACCTGAGACAAAATAGAATTTAAAATATTAAAATACAAAATATAACTAATTTCAAAAAACAGAAAAACCATTTCAGTGAAATTGTATGAGGTTTATAATATAATAATTTCAATTAATTACATTAAATAATTCTATGTAAAAAATTTTGAGAAACGGTATCTTAAAAAATTTTCATTTTCGGTGGGAACATTAGCAACTTTCATTTTGGGGCCACCCTAATGTGATTAAAATTATCAAATACCAAGAAAAAGCTAAAAATATAGTGATACTTATAATTACCGTGGAATAAACATATTTCTTATATGAAAGCAAAGTTTTGTACTTCTTTTATTTCTTACCTTGTTGGCAAAGTCGTTGGACTGGGCAAGCATGCCTCATTAGTTAAATAAGTTGAAACTGTTTCGTGCATATTAAAATTACCCATTGTTTTTCTTAAAAGTCGTGCTATTAATCCTGAACCCTGTATCTGAAATAATAACCAAGTCACAACTAAAAATTATTATTACAAAAATATATAGTTGTTTAATTCACAATCAAGTTATGTACCTACATATAACAACAGTGATTGTGAACGAAACTTTAAGACGATGTTCTATCGCCAGTATATTGTTGGTTTGAAAAAACGACTAAGAGCCAATCTTTAGGTGAAAGATTAGCGATTAAATTAAAATTAATCCTCGAAAGATGTTTTTGAGTACTCAATTAGTTAATTTTGTTTGCAAGTTTAAGCGCCTAATGGAGGTGGTTTAATCTTAAGCACGAAATGCAAAAGTGTAAACATCTGATGCAAACAAATTAATAAAATTTTTATAAATATAAACATTAAAATGTTCTATTTATTGATTAGTATAAATTATGGACACTTCAAAATACATTTTTTTGTTTTTAATTTAAGTTTTCATTAATTTTCATATTAAATTTACAATTGTCTTCTTCTTTTTTATAAAATATGCATTGTTTTGATAACAAACAGTGACATTTTCTGTTGTCTTGTATGGCAACGCTGCGAAGTTTAATCTTGTACTCAAAAACATCAAATGGTATTAACATCGGATTAAATTTATTTTTAGATTAACTAATCTAATTATTAATTGCCATTTGATTGCCAACTCAAAAACCCGGTCTAAGAAGGTTTACGTAAACTTTTCTCAAAATTTACGTAATAGATTTTTTTTAATTTTCACACTTCAAATTATGAGGATTTCAATGAAAACAATAATTCGCGTTTTATGGACTATATATATTTTTTATTTTTGTTTTTCCTTTTTAGGACTATATCTATACAAATTAACTGCTTTTTATAGCCACCATTAAAAAAGATCCGAACGAAAACGATTAGAGGGCTGAAATCCAAATATTCCACAAATATTTGTTATTTATGTAGGTTGTTTGGTATTGGCTTTAAATTCACTTAAAATGTATAAGACATGCTTATACCCACCATATATGTATATTAGAGCGCTCCAAAAAAAACGAAGTTGCAAATTTAGCCCTTCCCCCCCCCTAGAATTGTTCTATATATTGTAAAACTATGTCATATAAAAAATTATGCTGATAAGATAACGTTAACAGGTGCCGCAACGGTTCTGAAGTTTCCAAGTGCATTTACAAGGAAAAAATCGATTTTTTCAGTTTTTGCTAAAATTTTGCCACTTAATAATGAATTTTGCACCTTATACACATAATAGGCATTTCGGAAAGATATAAAGCACAAATATTGGTTGAAAAATTTAAAAGTTATTGCAAATTCCCCAGACCATTAACGTGTCTCACAGCACATGAATTCGAAATGTGACAAAAAAAATAAAATTTTTAGGATATATTGTAAAAAAAACCATTTAGAGCGGGTTTTTGAGATGGTAATCAAATGCCAATTAATAATCAGATTAGTTAATCTAAAAATAAATTGAATCTTATGTTAATCCCCTTTGATGTTTTTGAGTACAAGATTAAACTTCGTAGTGTTGTCATACAAAACAACAGAAAACTTCACTGTTTGTTATCAAAACAATGCATATTTTATAAAAAAAGAAGAAGACAATTATAAATTTAATATGAAAATTAATGAAAACTTAAATTAAAAACAAAAAAATGTATTTTGAAGTGTCCATAATTTATACTAATCAATAAATAGAACATTTTAATGTTTATATTTATAAAAATTTTATTAATTTTTTTGCATCAGCTGTTTACACATTTGCATTTCGTGCTTAAAATTAAACCACCTCCATTGGGTGCTTAAACTTGCAAACAAAATTAACTAATTGAGTACTCAAAAACATCTTTCGAGGATTAATTTTAATTTAATCGCTAATCTTTCACCTAAAGATTGGGCCTTAGTTACTTAAAATCCTAATATGTATATACAGTGGACGTCCACTAGTACGAATTATATAGTATCAGGCCCTTTCGTAGTACCGAAAAATTCGTATTATTGAACAACACATTTTTTAATTCAAATAATACACATAAAATATTGGATTTTATTTTTGTTTTATTTTTTATGAAAAATTACATAACGAAACAAAATACATATAATAAATATGTGTATTATTTTAAATAAATTTCTTGTACATAAACAGGCATAAAAGGGACATATTTACGTATATGAATTGTTAATTTTGAAAGTATCGTAAGTTTAATGGTTGAAATGAGATATAGAAGGTTTCAAATTTTAATGTTTTTAAAAATATGTGTGCCAAAGACAATTTGTATGTACATATCTGTTCTAAAATGTATTAAACATGTTCAGATTACATAAAACTTTTATTAGAAACTTAAATGGAATATACCACATTCAAAAACAATTCTCTAATTTATAATTTTCTCTTAAAAATTGGAATAGTTATCCTTAAACCCATTGTTTGGAATGTGGAGTCATACTACTTACAAAATTAACAGTTCATACATGTATATGTATCCATCATTTAACATCGATGTTTATTACTTTGTAAAATGATTCCTGCGGCCTTTTCAATAACAGCGCTTTTGAGGCTTCAATATTGTTCTCAGCAGAGTTATTTTCGGGAACTAATAAAATACTTTCCTCATTGGCGTTATCATCCAATTTAATTTCTTCTCTTGGGTCATCAAAATTCCAATAAAATAAAGTAATAACACAAAATAATTGTTGATTTGTAAATATACATGCAGTAAATTGTATGTATAGGATTTTTAAAAATACAAAACACTTGTAATAAATAAAAAACAACTTCAAAATTACTGAGCTAAAGGTGAATGATACCGAAATAATAAAATAAAAACATAATAAAAACTTCATTCATACGTAAATAAAACTAAAATTCCCATAAAAATGCGTTATTCGTACTATCGAACAGAAAAATTGTGACTTTATTCGTACTATAGAGTAGACAATGCAACAATTTTGCCATTCGTATAATAGGACATTCGTAATAAAGAGCATACGTACTATTGGACATTCGTAATAAAGAACATATACTATTAGACGTCCACTGTATTATAAATTTCTTTGTAAGTTTGTTTATTTGTTTGTGCGTCAATCACGCCTAAACGGATGAACCGATTTTCTTCAAATTTGGAACATAGAAAGATACTTTTCGAAAGTTGGACTAGACGGGGGTAAAAAAATGAGTTAAAACGACGAACAAAGGGCAAAATTGGTACTTTTGTGCATAAAAACTTATTTTTGTCTATTCTAATGCGAAAATATTTTCGACTTAGCATTCTAAAGTGTCAGAAATATGTATTAGCAAAGTGGCGTTGCGAAAGTTGGAACAAAACGGGTATAAAAAATTGGGAAAAGGGCGAAAAACTGGTAAAATAGGTACTTTTGTGCTTGAAAACTGATTTTTATATATTCTAACGTGAAACTATTTTCGATTTAGCTATCTAAAGTGTAAAAAATTTGTATTAGCAAAGTTCCGTTGCGAAAGTTTGACCAAAGCGGGTAAAAAATGGGGGAAATGATGAAAAATGGGCAAAATTACTGTTTTTGCCCATAAAAAGTGATTCTAAAGTGTCAGAAATATGTATTGGGAAAAATTCGTTGCGAAAGTTGGACCTGAAGGGGATGTAGGCATGTGGGTAATTCAAACTTAACGGGTAAAAACGGGTACATACTTTACGGAAGAGATTGTCTAAACACAATATGTAATGAAACCTTCACACATTGAGAGAAAATACGGATGGAAAATTTGACATTCGTATAGCTCTCTTCGTCGCATTAGATCAGGAATATATTTTTATGTAAACTCAAAAAAGTGAAACAGCTTAGTTTGTTATTGTTTTATACCGTGTAAACAAGGCCCCTTAAGGAAATATATATATTTTGCTTCTCAATTTTTAGTAAAGTATCTTTTCAAAAAAATGCTTTGAAGAGTTTAAATCATGCTTGGTAAATTTTGTGAAAGTTGTTCTGAATTATATATTTTGAATGTATATTTTAATTTCGACATATTTATTCATTTCAGGGGTAAAAAGCAAAGTCAATGTTAATTTGCATACATTGATTAATATTATAAATCACTTAAAATCCCGGGCAACGCCAGGTACAAAAAGCTAGTATATCTATAATCAGTTTAATTTAGTGTACTAAATTATCAGTTAAATCAATATTTAACTAGCACTTAATATTATTTTAAAAAATATATTTTTCACAAATTTTCATGAGCTTAGTGGTAGTGAAGCTTATATATTTAGCACTAATATTTTTTAGTGATAATGTTATTTTTTTAACTATAACTCAATTGAGTGATAGTGTAGAAAAAAACACTACACTCAAATAGTTAAAAATTTGAACAGTCCCCAGCAAAAAATAATTGATGTCATACTTTACAAACGACATCTTAATCACATCTAAAAATGCGATTGCATACTTTTCGCGTTTATAAACCAAACATATACTTACAAATTAAAACACAGTTAAAAATGAGAAAAGAGATGTAGAAAAGTCACTACAAACAACATATTCGAAGTACTTCAAATTTTGATGAAAAACCAATGAAATGTACATAAGCGTTTCATTGAAAGAATGTGGTTTATTTTTGACATACAAATATTGGATTTTTACAGCTTCTAAAGATAAGATTAGATGTAGTTCAAAGTTGTCAAAAATGAATAACATCCCTCCAATGACACGCTAATGTAAAATTCATAGGTTTTTCACCTGAATTTGAAGCACTTCGGGTTACTAGTTGTGATGAAAATTCTACATCTTTTTCCAGACTTTTTTTGCTGGGTCACTAACAAAAGGCTTCAATAATTTTCTTTGCACTATTTTTTTATGAAATTAAAGAATTTGTAAGATAATAAATGATTAAATTTTTTAAAAGATACATCAATTAAAATGGAAAATACAGATTTTGTTAGCGATGACACTATGATGGACCCTACATATGCAGTTACCCCAATAACGTATGGTTTAAAAAAAATGGTTGAATCACCAAAATTCCAAAGCTTTTGCCTTTTGCTCAAGTAGCGTAATGATGAACTCTCCTCGGAGAAAAAATTTAATTAGTCAGTTTTGTATCTGGATTGCGTTGCCAGAATGATGTGGCTATTCCCTTGTCTATTGTCCATAAATTCCCATGAGATCTCCTAAAATTTGTTTAACAAAGTTTCAAAAAACTGAAATTGGATATTTGAAACGGTTGTCGAAAAAATAAAACTTTTTTGATCATAGCTAAGCGTTATCGTATAAGGACAAAATCTAATATTCGAGTAATTATAGATATATTTTAAGTAGCAAAATGTTTTTTATAATATATACTAAAACATTTTAACTTTTTTGTCACATTTCTAATTCATGTGCAGACACGTTAATGGTCTGGGGAATTTTGTGTACATTACGATTCCTTCACAAAAAAGTGCAAAGTTTATTATTAAATGGCAAATTTTGAGAAAATACTGAAAATTACAGTCAAACTCGCTTATAACGAACTCGGTTATAACGAATTCTCGGTTATTGCGAACAAGTTTTCAAGTCCCGCTATTTTGATAACTATTTTTATACAAAAAACATCTCTTATAAAGAACTCGGTTATTACGAATCCTCGTATAAAACGAAATACTTTTTCAGTCCCTCAAGTACAATTTCATACAATTTTCCTTTTTTTATAACGAACTTCAAAATTATGTGTTGAAATCATAAGGATATATTTTGCTTTGTTGAAAAAAACTTAAATTTGTTAAGAAAAATATGATTAAATAAAATCAGTGGTGTTTTTTTGTAAAGAATATTAAATAAATTTATTAATCATATTCTTAAAATTTCGTAAAATGCCACTTTATTTTTGGAACTACAAAAACTTCACCTGTTTTATTACGAACTTCGCTTATAACGAACAAATATGACCGGTCCCGCGGAGTTCGTTATAAACGAGTTTGACTGTATAAAATATTGAGTTCATCAACTAGTTTCGTGTATCATTTGAGAAAAATCTATTAATAGTAGAGGCGAAAGGATTTCAAAATAATAGGAATTTTTTGAAAGACTTGCAACGAGAGAAATACTTTCAAGAAAACAAGTAGGTCCACTCTTTAACGCTTTCCGAATTGGAAAAGTTAAAATCATTAGCCTCAACATCAAATGACTTTTCATCAAATCATCAAATCAAATGGAATTTTCCTTTTTCCCCTGTATGAAGCAAAAATAAAATCATTCTATACTGTGGATTTCACTCGTAAAAATGTTTCTTAAATAAATTAAAAATAATTTGTCTTACCTGAAATTGAATCGTATGTTCGCCCTCCTGAACAAACGACATCTCCGAATTATTCCGTATTATTAACAAAACGGATACAATAACGTAATCCAGAAATAAAAAGAAGCAGCCCGATATAATTTCCAAAGCGAATTGCAATAAGTTAAATGAAACTGCTTGTGATTCTTCTTGTGTTCGCTGCCACGAATGATCAGCATCAATAAGTTTTCTACTTTCATACTATTTGATATTCGAAGTTATGCTTTAATAAAAATATTGTTCACTTATTTATCCCACCTTTTTGAATGGCAATAACGATTGCTTTCCTAGTGATTTTCTCCTCAGATCCAAATGTTTAAAATAATCCGTTACATAAATATTGTCATGATCAAGATCCACTTTGTACATCTTATGATATTTAACACATGCTATAATTAATAGATATAAATATATACATACATATGTATGTACATATGTATATCAAATAGATGTTAAATATGTTAGACATTTATCTGAATAGATATATTCAAAAATATAAATTTTTAAAGCACAAAACATAAGAAATTATACAAAAATAAATTATGTATAATTTTGCCATAAAATAGTCGAGTGTATTCTGATGGAATATAAAATATTTTTTTGAGGAAAACGTTGATACATTTATACGTACCGTAAAGAATTTTAAAAATCATAAATCCTAAAAATTGTTGCAATATTTTAAGAATTGAATCAAAAATTTGTTTTCTAATTTTAAATTCGTTTGCCACATTTTTAGCAGTTTCCTCAGCCGATCTTAAAAAGCAAAAATTATTCTACAAATTTTTGATTAAAACAAAAAAACACTAACTTCACTCCAGGCATTGCTTCGGGACTCAAAATTGTGTAGTTAACTTTGACACTGGAACTATCTTCGTCAAGTTTATTTTCAGTCGCAACCAATTCAACATAAGTTTCTCCAAAATTTTCTGGCACAGCATCGGATGGATCGCAGATCTTTTCAGGATTACCCAATATATTGATTTTGCATATAAAATCCACTTTAAATGGCCAACATATCAATGTCCTAATAATAAATGGCATTTTTTCGTAGCATTTTTCTAGAGCATTATTAAATGCTTTTCTACAGCGAGCTTTGCCACTGTCCAACTGTTTACGACAACGCAGTCTGAATTTATTCTTATATCGGGTTTCAACGTATTCAGAATTAACTGTACGTTTTAAATGGTCTTGGTTAGATACATAAGACTCGGTATGGTGGTCTCTATATCGAATGTTTTCGTCTGAGGTCATATTATTTGCTACGGAGACATTTACATTTGTTTCTAGATCATCAAACATTACTTCTTCATGTAAGATATCTGTAACGTCCTTGAGTTCATTAAATGTATTTTGCACCTCCTTAATATCTTCTTTCATGTGTACCATAGTTTTCTGGAATGGTTTTGTCATCAAATCGAAACGGGTACGTGTTAAATTAATAGCTAATATTTTCGAACAGGAGAAAGCTCGTACAATCTCACCAGTATTTGAAGATAAATTTTCGATAGGACCTTTCCAATTCAAACATTAGATTCCAATTGGTAAAATAAAATACAAAACGTATTTAAAGTACCTGCTATAACAAAGGCAAAGCACAATGCCCTCATGTAACTTCGTCCTGATTTTCCCAATAACGATATGAACATCATTAGAATAACGCATTTCATAGTATCGGTAAGAACGTAACTACCGGCTGAGGAATTAAAAAATCTGAAAATGAACAATGTCCCGAAATGTACTTTACTCATACATACCTATAACTGATATTGTTATCAATAGCATTGAATTTTCATATTTCTTTGAAATGATTATTGATGCAAACATACATTTGCACATTAACCAGGCACACAGCATCCCCATTAAAATACTGCTACTGTACCTGGTCTTCTTCCAAGTATTTTTTCTCTTGCCATACCAAATGCAATAGAATGGTCGACAATATTCTTTAAAAAACGATCGTAAAGTCATTATAACAATATAAAATAAATAATACGGAATAAATAGAAATGTTTAAAAAAAACTTCAAATTCTATATCCCAACAAGCAATATTCAAATCTTAGAGATATTGAGTTTTAATTTTAGCTACAGTTAGCATCCAATCGACGAAACATTCCGCATAAAATAAAATTAGCAAGATAAGACTGCTGCCACTCGCATTTTTTACAAGTATATACTACATATGTACATATGAATAAAAATTTAATTTTTCGTCGCAGATATCTCAAAACCTTTGCTATCTTTTTTGAAATTTTATATATTTTTAGAAAAACAATTTTGTACAGATTACGATTTATTTTTAAGAAAGTGCAATATTTTAAAATTTGAAGCATATTCTATGCAAAAAGTTAATAAACCCCATTTTACATTTTAAACACATTTTCAAAGTTTAGAGACTGTTCGGAACGGATTAGTGTTATCCGATTTGTCTCAAATTCTCAGCATTGCATTTTTAGTGCATGCTCTTCTAGAATTTGTACAAACATGTTTTTTATAACAGCCCTATTGAATATTAAGGTAGTAACTTTGAGAAATTTTTCTCTAATTGCTAAAATATTCGCAAATACTTGAATAGAATATTAACAAATAATTCACACTCTTATTAAAATTTAATATAATAGATAAATTCCGCGGTTTTCATAAAAAAAATGTATAACCATTGGATTTAAATCTGTAAATAAACATAAAATTTTATTTTTTAAATAAAGCTATGACTTCTGATTGATTTAAGTAATTGTTTATTAACAGCAGTTATTGTGGACTATTACATGGTCCCAAGGCCAAAATTTTTTTTATACCTCCAATGTGTGTTTACACTTAATTTAACAAAAAATATATTAAATTCTATAGGCCTCTCTAATTTTTTTAATATTTCTGAAGTTCGCAGCCAATTTTCAATTGTTCATTTACTTTCCCAGTAAATACTTGCAACGAGAGAGTAAAATCAAAATTTTACGAAATTGCTCTCAAAATTAGTAAAATGTAAATGAGCGCTTTACCAGTATTAGAATTAAAGCTTCCAAAATAGTTAAAAGCATCTGCATTTTACGTAATATCGAAATAATTCGCATTAAAACAAACAAAAGACAGTGTAGCACTTCTACTTTAAACATTTTTATATTATTTTTGTTAATCAACTTACTTTTGAATTTCTGTTAAAATTTTTCTAAAAAAAAAATAATATTTTTTTTTGTCGTTAAAACGTTAAAACGAAGTACTTCCAAAAGAAGAACATTTATCACTACTTCTAAAGTAGCACTAAGAGATTTTTTATCTTCTGTGGAAGTTAAATGGCTTTCGAAGAAGCGAAAATAATCCAATTTTTCAACGCTGATAATATTTTTGTTGTTCTTACATTTTTATGAGTAAAAAAATTTTATTTTTGGCCTTTTCTATTCAATGTGTCTATTTCCCTTATTAATATTAATATTATTTAAGTCAAATTAGTTGTAGTCTATAATACAATTTCGCATCCAAATAAATAACTTCCAAAAAAGAACGTAAAAATTACTTCAGAAGTAGTGAATTTAGAATCGCATCTTTGGAAGTTCTTTTTTTGCTGGGATACATACTTGAAGTACTTCCAATTTTGGTGAAAAAAACAATGAATTTTACATTAGGTTGTCTTTGGTGATGTTGTTCATTTTAGACAACTTTGAACTAGATCTAATTTTATTCATAGAAGCAGTAAAAATCCCATATATGGACGTCAAAAATAAACCACATTCTTTCAATGACACCCCAGCAATAAATAGTTGATGTCATACTTTACAAACGACATTTTAATAACATCTAAAAATGCGACTACATGTTTTTTGGTTTTATGAACCAAATATTTCCTTAAAAATGAAAACCCAGTTAAAAGTGAGGAATGAGATGTAGAAAAGTCACTACAAATAACACATTCGAAGTACATCAAATTTTGTTGAAAAAGCAATGAATTTTACAAGCGTCCCAGCAAATATAAATTAACAACAGTAATATTTATACATATCTGTTTGTAAGTATGTATTTAAAGTAATAGTAATCTTTCTTAAACAGCTATACATTTCAAAATCTTTACATGTATAAAAGAAAAAATTATAATTTTATGTAAAAAATTAAAATAGCAACTATTAATATAACGTATTATATATTATATTATAATATATCTATAAATTAAAATAGTATTATATCCAGGCACAAATTATTCAATTACATAGTCTTCATCAAAGTCATATTTATCATCCTTATCATCATTTGATGTACTTAGGCTGAAATTATCCAGAACATCAGCAATTTTAGCAACTTTCTTTTCATTGCGTGCATTTTGTTTCTTCTTCTTCTTTAACTGCTCTTTAATGTTTTTGTTGAGTGTTTGGTTTCCTAAAAATTAAAGAAATTTTTCACAATTTTCATGTTATAAAATTTTTTTTAAAAAAAGGGTCACATTAAGGTTTTACCTTCTAATTCCATTGTGGGATCTGTTTTTGGTTTCCTATTACCATCTTCATCCAATTTGCGCTTCTTTCCTTTACTATGAACTTCGCTTTCATCAATAATGGTGTTTGGCTCGTCTTCCTCATCATCATCTTGCGGTGCTTTATATTCTACGGGGCCCGTAGAAGTAATTTCCATTACTTCATCTTTTTTAACATCAAAATTATTCAAAATATCAGTTTCCATTGCTTCGAAATTGTCAACGTCGAATTCGCGAGCCTCTGCATGTACAATGGAAGCACTCACATGAACATCATTATTTTCTGGAACTTCTGGTGGTTGAGTGCAATATTTAATTTTTCCTGTATTCCAATCATTTAAAACGCTACGTGCTGCGGCGACAACATCAGGAACTCCTTTCTTTAAGAATTTTCCTAAAAATGGTTTAAAAACACGACCATATTAATACACGATTACATTATTATGTTGATTTAAATTACCCATTCTAGCGGCTTTCTTAGCAAAGAATTCCTCAAATGTGTCATACTCAGTGATATCATATAATTTACAAAAATATTCTTTGCTAGCTCTTTTTAAAACACTTTCAGCGACAGTAAAAGGATCCTTTACATCTCCTACACGTTGAGCATTTTTCAAAACAGCTGGCATATTTTCATTATTTCCGGAACTTGTGAACACAATACCAGGACAATCAATAAGTTTTATTTTTGAATCCAATTCCACTTCTTGCATTGCTCTAAGAATAAGATAAATAATTAAATTAATTAGATTGCAAATATGTTTCTGCTACAAAGAAAAAAATTATTTACAGCGGCAAGCAAAAATATGTTAATTCATGTTGCAACGTTCTTGTAAAATTGGAAATCGTAATTCTGACGTACAGATAAATACTGCGCAAAGTATGTGTCTCTAAAGATTATTTAAAGACCTTTAAAAACGGACCAATAAACTAAAAATCCCTGAAGAAATTTCTATGCAGTAGCGACCAATACTAAAGTACCCCCTTATTTTTTTAAAGTAGTTCTAGTTATAAAAGAGAAGGCAAAATTTGAAATTGATATTTAACTTCTTGTTTATAGTTTTGGTAGGTTTTTAAAAAACTGTAACAAAAACATTTTATGTTATTCATTAAAGAAAAAAATTTAAAATAATATTCATATTCTTCAAAATTTCATTGGTCATAACATTAGCATCCCCATAAAAAGGATTCTTAAAATCGGATTTTTCGAATATATCTTTAAAAAATTTTAATTACAAATTATTTTATAAATATAAAAATATTATTTTCTTTATTCTTTAGTGTTAAAATTTGTTTTTCAAAACTTTATTGGCCGTATAGCACCAGACAGCTTAATCGAAGGTGCCACTTTAAAAATTTCTTAAATAAGGTTAACAACACAGCAAAAAAATAATTGATGTCATACTTTACAAACTACTCTTAATCACATCTTAAAAAGCGATTACACATTTTTCACTTTTATAAACCAAATATTTCTTTACAAATGAAACCCCAGTTAAAAGTGAAAAGTATTAAATTACCTATAAAATTCATTTTCGAGAAGATTTTAATATGAAAAAGTTTTATATCTATCGACTGATAGGCTGACTTCCAAAACGTCAGTTGCGCTGTATCCCAGCAAAAAAAGTGTGGAAAAAGATGTAGTATTTTCATCACAACTAGTTGTTGTTGTAACAGTTCGACTGTGGCCGATAGTTCTTTCCTGGGGAAAAAACTTTCGGTTGATACAGCTGTCGCTGGGTTGACAATCTTTGGCCGAGTATGATCCAATTGTCGTGGGAACGTTCTAGTAACCCGAAGTGCTTCAAATTCGGGTGTAAAACCTATGAATTTTACATTAGCGTGTCATTGGAGGGATGTTGCTCATTTTTGGCAACTTTGAACTACATCTAATCTTATTTTTAGAAGCAGTAAAGATCCGATATTTGGATATCAAAAATAAAACACATTCTCCTAATGACACGCTTATGTAAATTTCACTACTCTTTCACACAAATCTTGATGTACTTCAAATATGTTATTTGTAATGACTTTTCCACATCTCTTTCCTCACTTTTAATTGGGTTTAATTTGTAAAGAAATATTTGGTTTATAAAAGTTAAAAAAATGTAATCGCATTTTAAGATGTGATTAAGATGTAGTTTGGGATACGAATAAAGTATAGTGTTTCATAACGCCGCACAAAACATTGACAATGCATACTGTTTCAAAACATCATCGACAATTATTATAAACTCAGCGAAATGGCAATCAGCGCATCAGTTTTGAAGTTGATGCTTCTTGAAATTATTTGGTGAAACTACACAAACAGCTGACTTTCTAAAAATATTACTTGGCCTCTTCTGTTTTAGAACGTGAAAATAAACAAAGCATCGTTGCAATGTTTTGAAACTTTACATGTGTACAAGATTTAAATACCGCAGTGAAATTGTGTTTAAACTTTGTATTGGTACGTTTTGGAAGTCAGCCATAATAATAGTCTACGGATTTTTGGGCCAAATTTCGAGCAATATTTCAATATTTGT